ACCAAGGAAACATAATAACGAGAGTTCAGCTTAGTCAGCTCTGTTATGCAACATCATAGTCTTTCTTGCCCGTTGTTCTTCTTTGATTCTCTCTGTTTGATTAGCTTCAAAGATAGCTGATTCCGTTAGGGATGCTGCATGGTATGTCTGCTGGTCTTTTGCAGCCATTCCTCATGTCTCTTAGTCAGTATGAAGGCAGAGAGCGAGGGTTCCCAACGTGTGCTTGTAGTGTCCTTCCTGTCAATCTTGTCTGTGGATGCCCATGAGAGAGTCATGCGTTGGCACCATATCTTCATAACGTGGCCGCTGTCGCAAATGCATCACTTCCACCGTAGCACAAATGTTAAGCACGCTAATAGAATCTAATACTTGGGTAGTTGAGATCCAGTTTCGACAATCCACCTTTAGTATCGTTCAGAACTACCTCCTTGTGTGTGAGACCCTGGTGTATGCACATGTGGGCCAGGTCGTGCGTGCGAAACGCGCGGACGAACCGTGCGCGCTCAACACCACGACCGAAGTAGACATGCAACGGAACGTGGACCACTTCGCCGCGGGCTGCGACAACTTCAGACTGACCATCGACAAGAACAAAACGATGGCCATGCACCAATCTTCACCCAGCATGCAACACAGCACTACTTCAGAAGACGAAGGTGCGACCACTGGAACAAGAAATTTATTGGTCTGACGTTTCGGATTCTCACTCGAATCCATCATCACTCCTGCTCGAATCAATTTCGACGGCAACCAACTCAAAACCGTGGACATCTTCGTCTATCTAGGAAGCGCACTCCAGCTCAGCACAAAAATCGACAATTAGCTTGCCCACCGACTCTCTAAAGCCAGCCAGATCCTCGGCCGGCTGCGTACCTTCGAGTGGAATCGCCACGGCCTTCATATGAACACCAGAATGAAGATGCACAACGCCGGCGTCTTGACGACACTATCGTATGGAACAGAGGCCTGAATTGTCTACTCCACTCATGCCAGGAAGTTTAATCACTTCCAATTCAGCTGCCTCCACAGAATACCAAAAATGAGATAACATGAAGGGATCCCAGACACGGAAATCCTGGAAGGGACCTAAATCCTAAGCCTTCAGGCCATGCTGGAACAACTGCAACTGCGATGGAGCGGCCATCTGGTGAGAATGGACGACACTCTCCTACCAAAACAACTCTTCTACGGAGATGTCGCTACGGGTGCCCGCCGACAGAGAGGACCAAAAAGACGTTACAAGAACACTGAAGAATTATCTGAAGCGATTTCATATCAACCCAGAGACTTGGGAGGACCTTGCCCAGAACAGATCGGTCTATAGAAAAGGAGTGAAGACCGGCATAACACACTGGACCGTCGCCAAAACCGAAATGGCTGCGCGCAAGTCTCAGGCGCCTCCGATTCGCAACATTGTCACTCAAACCCACTGAACGTGCCTGCGCCGTCAACGAACATTTTGCGCGCGGATCGGCCTCGCCGGTCATCTCTGGACCCAACGCGCCAACCGGCCGACGATCGCAATCGCTGCCTCCACGACCGCCGCTGCCCAAACCTCCACATCGCCTCGTCGGCTTCCACGCTCACCAACGTTGTTCTGACTCCCCGTGCCGCACTGCCGTCGACCGCCACCACCTCCGCCACAATTACCGCGGCGACGACAAAAATGACCATTTCTACCACCATTGTCACCGACCAAAACCCTCCTGACGCCCCTCAACCCCCAACACCTCCATCATAACTACCCCTACCTCAGCTACATACACCAGTTTCCCACCCGTTCTTATTGCGACCGCACATTCACCTCACAACCCGCGCCTTCTTTCGCCTCTGGTCTTCTTGACTCCGTCTTGGCACCGTACCCAGGTGGGGGAGGAGACAGTGCGGTAGATGCTGTGTATGTCTTCATGCCCGTTGTCTGAAGAAGAGCTGGGTAACCAGTCTCGAAAATTTAAACAGTAAAGTTAATTGTTTCCCAAAGAATCCTATCTTCCTAACTAAATCTCTTGGGATGCCTATTTTTCAACTATCACTATAAACTAAATCACCCGCTGTGCCTGCTCTCACCCTGCTGTGGAGCAGATGGTGGATGACCTGGGTTACCCTTGCGATGTCGCAACGAGCGCGAACAGTCTCATTTGAGACGAGAGACGAAGTCGGTGTACTTCACTCGAAGGATGGTCCTCAATCAGTGGTAGTCAAATACCTCCAGTTTCCGCTCATCTTCCATGCGCACAGCCCGGCATTCATAACCGTACAGTACGGACTGGACGGATGTATGGTACGCACGAGTCTTCTTGGCAATGTAGATGTCGCGCCGAGCCCGTACACACTTTCGAAGGCTTAAGAAAACCCAGTGGGTAGCATCGGTTCGGGAGACTATGTCGCACCGATTCTGCCCTTTCGGCGGCAGCCTCGCCCCTAGGTATTTGAAACTGTCTACTTCTTCAAGTTGGTAGTCATTAACCTCGAGAGGTGCCTTTTCCTGACAAATCATTAGGAACAACCTCATCCCTCCACGCTTGTTCAATCACCTCATGGAGCCAGAACGTCAGAATGCGGACACAAGACTTGCAGATTTCAGCAGAAATACTATTCTCTCATCATGGCGCCTTGTCGCTACGCAGCCTTCGTATTACAGCAACTACTTCTCCATAAGGGGGGGGTGCATAGGTCGGATACAAATAAAACTGCGCTGCAGAGGTGAGCGCGGGTGTGGCGGGTTACTCATCGAAGTTTAGAGGGGGCTCCTTTCTGGTCAGCAAAGTTTAGCATCCTCTCACCGCTGTCGCATCGTAAACCAAGCCTCAAGCCGCCAATAAGGTGGCTGTTTGAAGTCGCCATGTCCAGTTCGGTCATTCTAGTCCCCGGTAAAAACCAGGAGACCACGACGGGGGAGTCTCAGCTAACGCCCAACCAACCAAGCGCCCTGTTCGGCAGCTGATATTAGTGTAAACACGGAGGCAATAGTGGTGTTCGTAGTGACCCCTTGGTCGCACATAGGTCATCCGGTCATTGCTGGTTCCCAAACAAGTAGTCTACGGTTTGCTTGTTGCGGGAGGGCGATCGCCACGCCGTGTCTTCTAGAAGAGTCGCGAGGGCCGCTGTGGCACAGGGTGAAATGTGCGTTGTCCCGCGGAATCTCTATTCCCCGAGCGCCAGAGTCGGGAGTTCGGACTTCGAACAGGCAGAGGTCATCCGATTTGTACGGATGAAGGCTCTGCGCCATCAGACTGGATACCAAGGTCCAGAAAGGTGTCGATTCACGCAGACGCCGCAGCATGGATCATAATACCGTATTCGGACACTCATGAGGTTTCTCGAGAATTATGAGTACAGGAGTCCCCAACAGTCGCTCGGACTATTTATCCGAGGTTGCCATCTCTAGCGCTTTGGTCTAAGATCTTAACTACAGGGCAGCGGTAGCAAACAAACTTATTTGATGGCGGTTTATGGTCGCCATATCACAGTGCCGTCATCAAGTTGACCATAGTAAGGAAAATTCGCAGAGCTCCACAGACGTTACAGCCGATCGTTACAATCGGTCTCCCTATCGACTTACTACAAGGCGGCTGGCACAAGTGGGAGCCCCTAAGGCAGCTCCACCTGTGCTCCTCCTTTTAACGATGTTACTGGCTTGGTGACGGTGCGCTTCGGGGCTTGGAAGACGAGTTTCCGCCAGATCCGACCACGGGGCCCATGATTTCGTCAATACGCAGCGACCCGCAGAGGGCATCTAACAGCGTACGCTTGTGGAACACGCTGGCAACTCGGCACCACGGAGGCTGCGATCCCCTCGAAAGTTTCATCTCTGACAGCCGCGGCCACAAAGGTACCTTACTTTGCATGGCCCAACTAAAAAGTGGCAAGGGGAAGCTGCAGCTGACAACTGATGCCAAGAGTTCTGATAAGCATGATAGACGCCAACGAAGTACAGCAAAATCAGTCCGGAGCTCCTCGAAGGCGAAAACCTTGCGACTTATGCCGGGTGCGGTCATCCGACCCCATGGAGTACCCGCTTGATCGATGGAGACCTTATAAGGCGGTCAGCTAGCCGATACCACTACAGTAGTCGTCGTGTCTAGTGTAGCAGCCGTAGGCCACAGATATCAAAGGAACATTTCATGAATAAATGACAGCCATCATAGTGGTGACAGAATAAGTGGCTCTTTGTATCACGAATAGCATTATAGGGAGTCAATCCTATGAGGCTGACTAAATCATGAGTGGCTTAAAGCGGCCGCTCCAATTCGTTTTACGTGTAGCAAGACAGGAAGGAAAACCAGTCGGATAAATTACACGCGGATCGAGACTGCAAGACGCTTAATAAAAAACGTCCACTGAGCTCATCTGGCGTTGCTTTGATACACAACTAATCAGCCACTCCGCTTGGCGATCATTACTGGTAATCCATGTAAGCTTGCTCCGGTTACCATCTATTTGTTACGACCGTCCGAGCTGCCTTCACCCTTTCCCTCAGGCACTCCAATCGCTGCGTGACCAATAGGCTGGCAGCCCAGTCCAGTTTGTACTCAACGTTTCTGACTACGATTAATACAACGACAAAGATAGATTATCGACGTCACGGGCTTAAAAATAAAGGAAATCCGAAGCTTTGTAGTTAGATGGAAGAACAGAAACAAGACCAGTAAGAGCGCATCACTTAAAAAAATTAATTTAAATACGCGATGAAATAAAAATCACAAGCGCACTGTGGAGTCAAAGATGCACATACATGTGGTGAAGGTTGATTTCGTTGCTTGAAATACGTGATCTCCACATAAAGTGAAAAAAATACTGTATGCTTATATGCGAGCATCGGACAATGATGCTTAGAAACAAAAAATAAAGTTATGGTACAGCAGGCTGGCAGGCGATAGGCAAAGAGGCCTGTGGGTCAAAAATAACGAATAGTCATATATACAGGAATAGTTCCGTTGAAAGATGAGTGGTTGCCGTAGACGGACAGATCCCAGCCGCCTACATCAAAACGGCGTATGCTACGTAACAGGACTGAGTTGAATCTTGAGCTGATTCGCCACCGAGCTTTCGGCGTCATCCTCGTCTTCGGAGAAGGTTGGAACGTGAGATATTATGTCACCAAATCCAGCTATATCCAACTGCGGGAGGGGAGTCCAAACATTGTTCCCAAGGTCTGGCAAAGAGGTGTCCTGATATGGCTCAGCGGCGTTATGACTTAGATTCAACAAACGGGGAGAAAGCTGATTATCTGCTGGGTCACTGCCTTTGCTGTTGAAATGCGCACTGGAGGAGCGAAAGTTAAGGCTGAGATCTAAGGGGTTACTGTTCAAAAAGTCCGGTATCTCATGGGAGTCCCCGTTAGAAATTAGACGCTGATTAAATGGGCTTTGGGTAAAATCAAAAGACTGGCTTGAAACTGGTGCGGAGGGCAGTGCTGCGACTTGAAGAGGCGTGCCCGCCGATTCATCCTGAGAACTCCGCGACGTCCCATCAACCGCAATATTATCACCATTTGTCGAATTCAATATGCTTTTCGCCATCCTTACGGCGTCTGTATAACCCTTTACGCGTGTTCTTGGGTTGTAAAGCTTGCAGTAAAACTCGAGGAAGGGGAACAGTTTTGAGCAACTGAGGTAAGAGCATTGTTCACAAGCTAGCCAGTCGACCTTAGCAATAAATCCAGGCGCCAATGACGGGTCGGCCGGTGTGGCGAGGACGGATAAGGAGGACGGATCTAGGGTCTGAGGCAAAAGACTGGCCTCAGCAAGCTGGTGGGCAGTCCGAGCCCACAAAGCACTGATACGTGAAGGCCAGTAGGGGTATCCTGCCAGTTTGGCCCAAACAATGTCGCCCACTCGAAAGCCACCGGCCAAGAGGTTCACAGAGGGGGATGTCGTGCTGGATTTTGCTGTCAGCACTCGGTGTGAAAATTCGCCTCCAGGCGCGTCAGCATCACACCAGGACTCAACTATCCGAAATACGCTGGTGGATTTGGTGCCAGTTTTCCGGAGTCGAGACCTTTTACCACCACAGAGCGGCTCGTTTATTGTAGTATCCCGTCGCAGGCGAATTTTCAAACCTCCGATTACAGGGTTTAAGCTCTTGTCCACAGAATCGGTGTCTATTTGAAGACTTGAAGATGCGGGCAATGTATGCCTGTTAGCAACAGCAGCCTTGTCATTCACGGGGCCACCTGCAAGCCCTAGTCTTGACTCATTAAATGGAAGCAGTCCAACTTTTTCTGCTTTCACCCGCTTCTTCGTAACCTTAGATTTTGGAGCAGTCGCCCGTGCGCGTGCTTTGGAGAGCTTTTGGGGTGCAGTATCGGATGGCAAAGTAGGAGGCGCCGTAAAGTCCGCCTTGTATGGGTGGGTACTGTCACCAATTACAGGATGGGCAAGGGTGGTAAGGGACTCCACAGTTGGGCTTGTGCAGGGGGTTCCATTAAAAATCACACCACTCTCCGTCCTGGAATGAGGTGGCGTGTGGTTGCTTGGGCTACTACTAGTATTTGTGAGTGATGAGGGCATTACAACTGTTCCGGGAGCACTGCTGGAGGTCGACGGGGAACAGGCAGAGTAAAAATTGCGGACGGGCGTGAGGGAACCAAAAGTGTGAGGGACACTTTGGTGGTCAAGGCTTCGAGAAGTGGCAGATCGCGTTTCCGTAGCACTAATTAACTCACGATGAAAAGGTGGATTCTCCGACGGAAATTTGCGACCAGGGCTGGAGACGGTCATAGACTGATCTTTCGCCATCCACCTGTGTTTGGGTTTTTGGTACCCACGACGCTTTGCAGTGCAACTATCCTCGACTTCTTGAAATTCATAAACACTTGAGTGGATTTGCGGAGGCGTAAGCTGCTGCTGAAACTTCGACAATGGACAAACGTTTAGGGAGTCAGATGGAGAGATGGACGTCATGGATCAAAAGTCATCTGAAATTTAGAAAATGTAGTCTTGACATCAGTGGTTACGGTCTGGGGGAGTAAAGCTAGAGGAATACAATAGAAGACGCACGAGCAATTATCAAAATAACTTAAGAGTTCCGGGCCAGAAAAGGTGTAGGTAAAAATTCGTTAGCATACGAAACAATTGTTCCGATACCGACCGTGAAAACTACTGACTGGCGTGATGACTGGTGCTGCATAGGCAATTGTAATTCCCAATATGAACTGAATAGCTATAGTGGGTATCTTCGAAGACGTGCACCTCCTTTGCTATGGAAATAAACCATTCAGACGCAATGAGGGAACGTGATTCTACCGAGGAAAACACGTCAGCGAATGGACAAGCTCGTGTTGAAGTCTACAGATTGATATGCGTGGGCTGAACTCCCCGGGCCCCATTGCCACACATCACTGCACACGGAGCGGCGTCGTGGGGTCATAGCGGAAGCCAGCCGGGCCAGACACGATGACAACCATGCCAGGCACAGGTACTCAACTTCAGCATCCCTAAGTCATCAGCGGGACTTATCTTGACAACACGAACAGGAAACAAGCTTTAGGGATACTGATCTGTCATGAGAAAACTGCTCTATAACTACTTTGGAAAAAATTGCCGTATGGAATTTTCACACTAGCGCAAACTCCTCTCGCGGAGACCCAAACTGAACAGGAGCTTCGTCCCAAACCTTGCCTCCAGTGACGAAATCTTGATAAATTTCCAGTCAGGAAGATAAGACGAGATGCGAGAACTATCGTGGCATAAGCCTCATCGACGTTGCCGCGAAGATCTTCGCTATCGTTCTTCTAAGGCGATTCCAGGCTGTGCGAGACTCTAGGACGAGGTCCAACCAAGCCGGATTTCATGCTGGATGTGGATGCGCGGGCCAGGTATTCACACTAAGGCGCATTCTCGAATTTCGTCATAGCTATCAGCAACCGACAGCCGTCTGCTTTGTTGACTTGCAGCCGCGTTCGATCCCGTCCATCGGGAGTCCCTATGGCGGATAACGACACTAGATGGTGTGCCGTCAAAAATCACCCCTATAATCAAAGTCTATTATCGCACCACCGCCACGTAGGTCCTGTTCCGCAACAGTCTTTCCCAATCGTTTGATATTCGGTCTGGCGTTCGACAGGGTTGTATCCTGTCACCCATCCTGTTCAACTACGCTATTGACTGGATTCTCGGGAGCGCCGTACACGGTGACGGTGCTGAATTTGCACCCGGACACCGACTGACTGAACTCGACTATGCCCATGATATTGCCTTACTTGCTTCAGGTTTCGGTGATCTGCAGCCTGTGGTGTCACGGGTGAACGAGGTTGCTAAATCGGTAAATCCATAAACGCTGGAGGGACTAGTGTTTTCAAGCTGAATCCCTGACCAGGAGAAGGCACCTCTCGGGATTTATGGCTGTCAACTTGAAATAGACAGTCTTAAAGACCTCGGGGCGAGACTGCTGCTGAATGGCCAGAGTACGGATGACACTATTTCCAAAACTGATAATGTCCGACGGGTTTTTTCAAGCCTTCGAAAATGCCTGTGGATCCCTCCATCGCCATTAAGATTCGCGTATACCGTGCATCTGTCCGGTCTGTCATTTATGGTTGTGAATGCTGGGCTGCGCGTGCGGAGGACGAGCGGAAACTGGAGGTGTTTGACCACCACTGCTTGAGAACCATCCCTCGAGTAAAGTACACCGACTTCGTCTCAAATGAGACAGTCCGCGCTCGCTGCGACATCGCAAGGATAACCCAGGCCATCCAAGAAAGGCGACTGAGGTGGCTTGGGCATTTTCATCGTCGTCCACCTCAGGAGCTCAGTGTTGCTGTCCTCGATCCGACACCGTTACCCCATTGGAGGCGTCGAAGAGGGAGTCAACTCAAAATCGACACAGCTCGACACAGCTTGTCAAGAAATGGAGGTGGTACTTAAACCTTTGGTATTTGGCCTCCGTCGTTGGCGAAGAGAATGGCTGGACTGTCCAGATCTGATGCAGCGGATCGTCGCGTGTGGAAAGGTACAGTTCGGGACATTATTGAGTCCGTCTAGATAAGGCATGATCGCAGCTGTACCAAGTACAAGTAAATATGCCAAACTTCCATTTCAGCATGCTTCGTAGTCTACATGTCGCATAAAGTCCCCAACAGCACAGTTCCGCTGTCATGGAGCATCAAAGGGTTGTTTGAAACGCACAAGTATATTTGCTTCGGTACACAGTTGCACCCAAAAATTTCCGCAAGCCTCCCTATAGGCTTTATAAGCCATGGTTACACGGGAACGGCATCACCTGCACTAATTGCATGGTGGGATGCCAGCGTTTTATTTTGTCTGGGGCTCCGCCCTAAAGCCAATTTGAGTAGTCGTGTGAGAACGTGGAAGTGATTATGGCAGTACAAACAAAGGCTATCGAGACTCCGGTCACCATTTTTATCTTATCATTGTCGGTTAGTCATTACCCAACCCCAAAGCCTAAGACCCAGTGCTCAAAACCAAGACCTGCGATTACTGGGTACTGAACTAAACACTAGCATTAATCCACGGTGTCAAGCCCTGTAAACTGAGGTGAAGAATAATCGGTAACATGGAAGATGTCCACCAATCTATCCTGAATGGGGGTTCATGCCCGGGTCTCCCAATCTCCAGGTGGGGTGGCCGGCACCCGAGACCGACATCCCATTCCTCTCGGCAACATTTTTCGACTTTGCATTAGCGATGTTTGTGAACGAGTATTAAGTGGTCACATTACCGCAGAGGAGCGGTAATTAGGTAGGATATGCTGTTCGAGGCTGTACTCACAGTTCTAGTGCGCTCATCTTTCGGCGAGTACTTGGTGGGTGGCTGTTTCTCTTGTACAGTCTGACATATTTCAATACCTCGACAGTGAGTAAATATAAACCATTTCTGCAGATCCTAGGATTTCTGCTAGCGGGGACATACAGAAAAAAATCCTGCACAGATTTGTTTAAACAGTAATTTACGTGCACCATTAACGTTCTCATCAAACTTCGTACTGGTAAGCTGTTTTCTATGCACCCGTAAATGACACTTCTCCTGCTATTGTTCTTGTTGTTTTCTGCTTCCGGTCGACCACTCTGTCATTCCTCGTTGTTTTAAAGTCGGGCTTTCGTGTATAACTACCGAATTGTTTACCTTTAACTGCAGAGAAGTTTTTTCAACAGTAACAAGGTTCACTTGTGACATTCAAATTGTACTCCAGGCAAGTGGCCATCCTAACCAGGGAAATTTTACTCGGGCTTCCGAAAGGACTGTCCAGTGTTATCTCGCCGTGCACGTATAGAATTCCAGCCCATATCAATGAAACCCAGAGTTGAACATAGAAAAGTACTTGAGCATAGTGCCAGAGGGAAAAGTCATTCTGTTAATCGTCTGCCGCGTGACTCTAAACTAGTCTAGTACTACTGGAGCAGTGTCTATAAACTGCTGTCGAGGTTCGAGATCTAAGTTCGCAGGAACAGTTGAATAGGCTCCATCCGCACATGAAAGCCTTGCAGAGGCTTATAAGATATTTTATGGCGCGGATGACATATGGGCGGTCTTCCTAAGGCATTTGTGTGCGCTATATCCAATGGTGCTCACCAAGGAATTTGAAGTCCGGTGGGATGCGCGACTTAGACAGAAGTGTGGTATCATGCAGCTGAACGGGTGAGCAAAAGACGCCCTAGCTCCCCATATGCAGATAATCTAAGAGACGCCTCAATTTAATGTGGGAGTCGGGACAGGGCACAGCTCTTAGTTTCAGTGGGTTGCCGGGCTGTTAGACATTCCGTCCCCTTCTAGGTTCCTGGCAAGTCCTCCAGTGTTTAGCCTGAGTCTCACCTCTCATGGACAGGAAGACAACAGAAATAGTCGCTGGGTCTAGACGATCAAGATCTTGACCGTCGGCAAGTCCTACGCTGGCTTTCCAGCTACGGGCATCCCAGGGATGTCATTAAAAAGCAGACATGGTAAACTGAATAATGGGTGTGGCCGATCACTTGGGCTTAAAATTTGCAATCACTCAAGCAAAAGCATAAGCCGGACATGATAATGTCAACGGCAGTGAGGAGACTTACCTGTACGTGGCTCTTTTGAAACTCAAGCCACGTGCAAATCAAAACCTGAAAATGTTGTAAGCGTCAAGGATTGCGATAAAGTGTTATTGGTCAGGCAAATATGCAAAATCCCGAAGGGACAGAAATGTCCGAAAGCTGACCCTCATATCCTTTTAGGACGCGTACGCACTAAAACAAACGCGGAGGTCAACTTTCTCGACCCAGTCGGTAGCAAAGTTCAAGGATAACTCTATAGATTCTCATGATGCAGAAGGTTTGTATTTTATTCCCTGAGCCGAATAATTTGCGGGATCGTTATTAGCAGTTCTGAGACCTTTATGACCCTCTAGACATAACGGTACACATGGCTCTGACGATGATACATTTTAGCCAGCACACCGCCTGCCGTTTCTCGGTTACGCCGATAATATCAATCTGCTAGCGCCAAACTGTGGTAATTTTCAAGATTTTGCGCCGGTTTGTTTATTAGTATAGCGCGCTGAGTCCCGTTTACGCTCTACTATCTTAATAAAGGTTGCCCTCTTGCCCTGCCCTCCCTGCCTCCTGCTATGTGAACATTCGAGTTGCCGACCTACTGCACTTCGAAGTCTTCACTGCAATAACATTAGTAATAGTACTGGACGTTAGTTCACCCGCACTATCAGCACATCTATGCAATTTGAATTGAGAAGGTTGTAAAAAAACTCCCATATGATTTACTTTTATTTTGGCTTATTCGGGAGAAAAAAACTGCGGCCCGCGTATCGACGGTAGCTTAGAACGAGGATAGCTAGTATAAGTACAGCGGGGTTTTGCAGTATCCATTTCCCTCTGTATGACTGGATGTCTGTACCAGACAATGGTGCATACATGAACGGTTGCTTCCCAACAGCTGAAGAAATGACTCGTCGGAGAACGAAGCGATGAATCGGTGCGATTCCCTTTGAAATCACACCGGTAGAGACATTAAAGACCACGAAGTCTATCAGAACGCAAGATGTATTCAGTGGATTTGCCACCCAGAAATTGCGGAAGTCCTTCTGAATACAGAAAACAAATGATACTTCGTTTAAATAAAGAAACGTTTTGTGGAATTTTTCTGTTCCAGGATAACTTGTTCCAGATAAGAGTTCTATAAACAGAAAAGATATGACGATCTTTAGTTGTACATACCACAGCTAGCAGTGAAAAGACCTCGAAGTAACTGCTGTGTCTAAGGTACGCAAGATGCTTCAAAGTAGCAAGCAGGTCTAATGTACGACTGGCCGAAAGTTTGACCATTAAAGAGTCCCTTTTGTATCTTAGCGGAAAACGTCGAGACTTTCAAAAGAAGACTAGATAAACTTATGCTTGATGGTCAAACATTTACATGACTGGCATAACTGCTATGTAGGTATCTGCATGTTTTGTTTTCATACGTCTGTCTGTCAATAGGGTTTTCCAAGGCTCTGCCTCTATCCCTCATATATACTGAATTATACTGAATCTGGCAAAACAACATAGGTTTAAAGGCTGTAAGTCCGCAAACTTGCTGGTAATTTAACTTTGGATGTAACGGGGGTAAAAATCTTGCAGCTATAAGGTGCTGGACAAATTCTATTTTCTTCAGATCTTCAGCTCCGGTCGGCTAAACAAATCTAACGGTGTTTCAGATTAGCTCTTATGTTCATTTTCTAGATGCGCGTCCTAATGGCGTTGGTTTAAAAGTCTCAGTGGTTAAATCGATCGTCCTGTGTGCAACGCTTTGAAAAACTGAGACTCTCGGACTAGGATATACCCAGATTGTTGATAGCACCGGCGCATGAATGCCGTGACCGCCGATGCTTTGTTAGGGCTGACGATCGTCCACAACAACCATGTCTGAGTGTTACTGACGGAAAAGGGAAAGGCGCCATACGCAGCACCATTTGATAGCAGCCTGAAGATCACTTTTCGAGAGTTTAGTCATGCTGTCGCGATCCTACGGTTTGCATCAGTAGGCAACATTCGAATCATCAGCATACATAAAAGGCTTGTCATTCTGAGATAAGTCTAGCCCATTGGTAAAAAGGCAAAATAAGAGCATGCCACCCCTAATAGCATTGAATAGCGACCTGATGCACTCTTGTCGCGGAAATCTCGCGATTGGGCTGTCTCGTCACCTGATATGTCGGCGAGTTTATCGATTTCACACAGTCATTGGCTGGCGCGCCTGAGCTATCGGCGCTCCCACGCCGCATGCTCGTCGCCATTATTGCTTGCGTGTCGCGTGCGGCGTGTGCTATCAACTGCTCTACGCTTCAATCTCTTACACCATTATTTGATTCATTTACCCATCTTTATTATTGTTCAAATGTTTAGGCACGAATGCAAACGCACTATTAGGCGGCATGTGAAGAAGAAGATCACGGAAATATCAAAGGAAATAGATGCAGAAGTTGATCTGCTCTTCGGCGGTAGCAAACGCTATCGAGCGGACTGTTCAGACTGCGAGTCGTCTGTTGGTAACTCAGTAGACGTTGGAAGTGGGAGCCTTAGCCCGCCAACGTCATTGTTAGGTGATCTAGCATCTGCTGACAGTATTGCTTGGGCGGATACTGTCATCCAAAATGATAACGTGCCACTAAGTGAACGCATATGGACAAGACTGCGTGATTGAGCTTTTCAATGTCGTATACCGCACAGTCATTTACGAAGTCTGTTAGAAATATTGCGTATGGCAGTCCCGCCATTGCCCGAAGACCCCCGTACACTGTTGGGGGCATCGTATAACTTGCAAGTAGTCCCCATGGGTTGTGGGGAGTACGTTCATGTTGGGCTGCAGAAGCAACTACGCAGACTAGTTGATAGTGAAATCGTAGTCGCAGACAATGAAGAGATGGTTGTGAATCTAGCTATAGATGGTTTGCCTCTTTACCGCAAGACGAGGGCTGGACTGTGGCTCATTCTAGGTCGTATCATGAAGCCATTTGTTAGTAACGTATTTGCCGTTTCCATGTACTGTGGGAACGGCAAGCCGCCAAACGTAGAAGCGTTTTGTAAAGACCTTATAGACGAAATAGTTGTCCTTAAAGAAGAAGGATTGCAATCCAGTAATCGACCAGGCAGGATGCGAGTCCGCATAGCTAGTGTTATTTGCGATGCTTCCGCGCGGGCCTTCGTCAAACAGATTAAGAATGTCAACGCATACGACGGCTGTGAACGTTGTACAACCGTCGGAACGTACGTTGGAAAAGTTGTCTACCTAGAGGAAGGAGAGAAGGAGAGGAAGGATGATGACTTCACAGGACAGGAAAGTAGTCAACATGTATTAAGTGTGTCCCCCTTTATCCGTTGTAATTTGGGTTTAGTGTCTATTTTTCCTCTAGATCCACTGCATCTTGTATATTTAGGTGTGGTGAGGATGCTAATTCGTTTGTGGGTTAGAAATTACCGGTCTAAGGCAACTGGCCAGACGCAGTCGTGCACACTGCGTTCGTCGCAAGTTGAAATAGTTAATAGCAGATTACGAGGGTTAAATACTTATCTACCTATCATCCTGTCAGTCTTACTTGCATCGCGTGTAAAATAATGGAACGCATTATCAAAAGACACTTGATGAAATACCTGGAACAGAACAAAATATTGTGTGATGCCCAACATGGCTTTCGTCCAGGGCGCTCCTGCCTAACGAGTGTTCTTTACTCGCACGAGAAATGGACACGAGCTACCGATAAGGGTTTTCCAGTAGATGTCATCTTTTTTGACTTCAAGAAGGCCTTTGACAGTGTCCCACACAGGCTTCTTTTACAGAAGATCTGGGATGTAGGAATTCAAGGAAGAATGTTTAGGTGGATCAGGAGTTTTCTGTCCTCCAGACTACAAAGAGTCGTCGTTGAAAATTCTACCTCGGAATGGGTAAAGGTGGAAAGCGGTGTCCACAGGGTTCTATCTTAGGCACAGTACTCTTCTTGATTAATGTTAATGACTGCATCAGCGAAGTGAATTGCGAGGCTCCCATGTTCGCGGACGACATTAAAATATGGAGTGAAGTCAAGTGTGATGATGACGCAGAGAAGTTGCAGTCTAACATCAACAAACTGTGTGCTTGGTCGAACAGATGGCTTTTGAAGTTTAACGTGTCCAAATGCGTGGTTTTGCACCTGAACACCGGCCGCAATGCCTCACCCAGACACCAGTACTATATTGACGGGACGAGGTTAGAAACTGTGGAAAGACACAGAGATCTGGGTGTATGGACGACCACAAATCTATCGCCATCAGAACACTGTAGAAAGATGGTCCAGAAGGCAACTAGTACTCTACACTGGATCAGACGTGCATTTAAAATATTTCCTCCCGAACTTTTCGAAAGACTCTTTGGTGTCTTTGTAAGACCTCATCTAGAGTATGGAATGCCAGCAGCTTCACCATGGATGAGGAAGGATATCGACTTACTCGAACAGGTGCAACGCAGGGCGACAAAGATGGTCGACGGTTTGAAGCATTTGTCTTATCAGGAGAGGCTGAATTTCCTTGGCCTATTCCCTCTCTCTTATAGACAAATAAACTGCAGTCTACTCTGGACGTTCCGGATCGTTCGCGGCCAGGGTTGCTGATTAAGAGCAGAGGATTTCTTTGAGTTTGCCCGTACAAACCAACTACGCGGTCATGCATACAAAGTCAGGAATGAGCGCACGCGTTTAGACCGACGAAAATTTTCATTCAGCCAGCGGGTTGTCAGGCCGTGGAACTCGCTTCCAAGCGAGATGGTGACGGCTGACACAGTTTGTGTGTTTAAAAGAAAACTTGCTCGTCTATTTTTCGACAGAAATCGACTTGTACAGCATGACTATGCACAGCCAGCTTTGTAAAATCTGCCATATACAATCTCCCGCACAAATTTACAGTGACCCTATGCACTACTTTATGATTACGATTGAACTGTGACCCAATCACATTTTAAATGCCTGCAATTTTATTTTATGTTTGAGTATGAATCTGCGAAAGCACTGTACATAAATAGGGTCATCAAGGGCTCTGCCTGTAACCCTTCAATATATACATATACATAAAGGTACATTCCAATAAATGCCGACAATTTAACTAAGTGACTCGCAATCAAGCCGCTGGTTTTAAATTTGAAGGTAAGTGGAGGATATTATTTTAAGTGGTTTTCCTGTGAGACCTAACGATTTTAGCTCCCGTTTTGGTTAAATTTCCTTAGATGCAGGCATATTCACGCAGAACAGTTTGTTGCCATCTGCTTTTTGAGTTCTGCTGGTCTATGCCTGTTGATCAACAGTCACACTGTGCAATTCGCATTTTGTGCATTCTATTTCTCTCTAACTGTGTAATTTATTTTTACATCGTTGGTCTCTGGCTGAAATTAAGTCACCTGGTCTGTCAGAAGTTCTCTTAATTACAACTTGCCTCGAGATAAGATGAGAGTAAAAGTCACGGGTCGGCGAAAGCTCTCGGCCTCTGTACGCAAGCATGGCTTAACTAAATCTATGTCAGAAGGCTTAGCTAAATTAATTCAGAAAGTTTGCCTAAATCTAAGTCAGAAGATATAACTAGTCAGTCGCCCCCATTGTAACCGGTGGACAGTTTAATCTGCCTGCACCTGACAACTGCATTGATTTTATGCCTACGTTTGGCACTTTGTTGTCAATTTTTGGAAAAGTATTTGACGGGAACATTTCCGATATTCCTCTGAAGAATGTAGGCGTCTTGACTCTTTTTTCACCTGATCGCCAGAGAATCTAGTGATAGACAAATGCGTGCTTACAACTTTTTGTTGAAAAATGTTCGTCGATCTGCTCGGCCAATTGATGTTGCGACCAATTTCCTGTATTCATGTGGTTTCAACTACAAAATAGTCGATGCTAAACGCTTATCTTCCCTTAGCAAAAATCCACCCGTCTTGGTGAAATTATTTGCATCAATCAAGGTTGACTCAATTTTTACCCGTCGAGATCGTGTCACTGAGTACCTGGAAAATGTAAAATTTTTCCTCTTTTCATGATCTTACTTCTATGAAGCGTAGAATCGGGCCCCTCTTCTCTCGTAAACCCACTGCTTCTCGGCCTAATGCTCGCCAACTCGGTCACAATAAAGGTGGCCGTGAAGATTTAGATTGTGCTACGCCTGCGACACCCGACTTCCACCTTCCCCTTACTCCTACATCTACATTTCACTCAGGCCACTTGCGCATTTACCCGCCCCTAAACTAGCAAGAGCCGCATTTTTCGTTTGTTATCCTCCGGATAGCCACGCTGGAACATATGAAAACCTGTCTACATCAGCTAGACCGATAACTTCCCCAGTTCAACAGGGTGCTGCAAGCTCTACAGTTAAGTCATCTGTGGCTTGGCGTCAGAACGGTGAGACTCCTAAACTGAATCAGACTCCGACCCAAAAGAAAGACAGTGCAGTTCCATTCAGGGATACGCCGCCTTCTCTTAGATCTGCCAAGCCCTTACAGCCCAGCACATCTACAAACCCCGCAGCTCAAATTATTTCCCCAAATAATTCTCTGCCCTGCGTACCGGTTACTTACCAAAGCCCTACTATATACCCGCAAAAAATTCGTACGTGAATTACCTTAAATCATTTATGTCCCAACCTAGTTCAGGCTTCCCACCACTTAAGGCCAGTTGCTCTGAGGTAAGTCTACCTAACTCCTCTGACTACCAAAAGAGGCTTAGTTTATCACCCTTTTATTCTTATGGCTGCCTACCCTCTACCACCAGCCTCTACTTTCCTTCAAGGCTCTCTCCTCCTCCCCATCCTCCACAATTTAACTACCAACAAGCCTATCCTTGTTCTAACTTCCCTAGCATTCCAATGCTCGAAAACCATCTCCACACATCATTTAGGTCTCATGCCCAACCTTCTCTTGCTGACTCCCCGTACGTCAACAACTTTACTCGTCTTCCCAAGTTTTGACATTTCGATCACCCGTCTCTACCCAGAGTTACGCCTTGTCGAAATAAATCGAGAAATCAGTTTACAAGTGCAAGTGACCTCCGCTTTCACGGATCCCATTACCGGCGATATCTTCTTCCTTCACTGGGGCTCTCAGGAAACCACAATCCAGAGTTAAACAAAGCACCTAGCTCGGTTTAGTTCAGATTCCTACGAATACCGGCTTCATCGTGCCTCCGAAGTCAATCATCCGTCGACGAAGTGCTCGATAACCGGCAGAAAGCGAAGACTACTTTGAACCTGGCTGCGAAGGCCAGGTCGTTCTTTGCTTCCAATTGACATTTTATACTGAATTCCGTCTGGAAAAAAGCTTTACTTTGTGCTCAGTAAAGTATCCACTAAGCGACTGAAGTCGCCCATAATAAATTAATTTAAACTCAAAAATATCTAGCTAGCATGGGGAATGCAAATGTCCATGACCCTACTATGTGTGACAAAAGTCTGCCCCACTCGAGATTCGAAACAGGGACCACTCGTGCGAGAACTGACGCCCTCAACCGCTCGGCCACGCCAGAACGGTCCGATGCCCACCAAAATAATATATACTCAGGAAAAGGTGAGCTATCACTTATTTGAAAACCGTTCTCTATTTCTTGTGATAAAAATTTGTCGTAAATACTCAACTCGCTCTCAGCTGGGCGTGATGGGCCACCGACCACCAACCCTGAAGAACGCAGTTCACTGCTGATGTCAGCCACAAATAAGCTAGATACTGAAATGTCCACACGCTGTGATGGATGTCGAGAAGTCACCACCAGAGTTTCGAAACTAGAAGTAGACGTCGACCTCCTCACTGAAATAATAGCGTCACTTCTTAGGTATAACAAAATTAAACCCCCTGAACACGATACAAAGGACATGAAAACCATCAATGAGCCGGACCACATGAATTTCAAGAAGCTGGTAAAAGGTTATAGACGTCGCGTTCAGCGAAACAAGAGGCAACGAACGAAGTCATTATACAAGTCTTCGGACTCAACCGAAATGAATGGCAATAAAAATACGACAGACAGTGATGAAACTGGTGCTCGCATTTCCATCAATTTGACAAATCTGAATCATGCAGAGTCCGTCTGCACCAAAACAACACAACGATCGGCAGCCCAAAAAACCTGCAGAAAGTAATCGTATGGACTTACGTACGCCAAGAAAGAGTGCTAGCAGCTTGCCCTTCACATGTGTATCAAGCTATAATGCAAAAAGTCAGGTGAGGCAGCCAAATAAAGACGTTACAGCATGTATCACGGACGCCTGCAACTTATCAACTGATCTGGATACATCCATAAAGGCAGTCCCAGAGTCTGAGACTAAGTCTACCGCCAACAAAAGAGGGCAGGATAGAACCACCAGTTTTTTCCCGAGAGATCACGTTGTATGGTAGTGCAAGGAGTTCCTGAAGTATCTGGTGACACCCCGAAAGAGAGGGTGAAACAAGATCAGCTGACATTCCAAAACCTACTCAATGACACGCAAAAACCCGGTGAGGTGGTCGAAATCCAAAAGACCTTCATTTTGGGACCTTTAGTAAGGAACAACGCAGATAAATTGTGGCCGAAACCACTAGAAGTCGTATAGGGGAACGGACAGCAAGCAAATCTCATCTTGTCGCAAAAGTCCAGGCTTCGAAACAACCATCGTGGAGTGTTTTTGTCAGCCGGATTATCACCCAATCGAACGAATAAAAAAGAGGACGCTAGTAGCGGAATTGAGAAAACGTCAGAGCGATGGCGAAGTAAATCTGAAAATAGCAAACAACCAAATTGTACAAATATAGCGTTCCTTCTTGTAGAATCATCCGGTGATATTGACGGTAAAAGCACCGGCGCTCGGTTCCGACAAACTTCAATAAATTCAAAATCGACTAGTAGACTTGGTACGCCAGGTGAAATATGCAGTAATAACCATCAGTCAAAAGCACTAGCAAACAATTTCTAGAGATCTAAACAGCCGAATAACATAAAAATGATGAACACAAATGTGCAGAGTTTATTCAGCAAATTGGATGAAATAAAACTCACTGTGGTCCATTTCCAACCAGACTCGATAGCTTTAACGGAAACATGGCTAAATGCGCAGGTAAAGGACGCGGAAGTTATGCTAAAGGATTTTCAGTTTCTTCGAATGGACCGAAACGAACGAAGGGGTGGGGGGATTGCGAAATTTATACGAGATGGCATTGACTACGTCAGGGTTGAGTCTTCCCCATTTCGGCACATTAATTGTGAAATACTCAGTTGTTACTTGAAGGTGCCAAACCATACAAGCCTCCATATGGCCCTGGTTTACAGACCGCCAAGCCAGCGAACGGATGCGGACGATGCACTTATCACCGAGATAAAAGAAATTTGTCGAAGCAAACACATAATGCTACTTGGTGACTTCAACTGTCCAGACATAGAGTGGGATTTGATGCATTGCACGCGATCAAAAAACTACTTCGAACAGAAATTTATGCAACTAATCACGGCTGAGTTCCTTATCCAACATGTTAGAGTGGACACTCGATTCAGAGACGGACAGCAGTCCAGTTGTTTGGACCACATCATCACTAGGGATGATAGTTGCATTTTCGGATTGGAATCGCACACGCTCCTTGGCCAAAGTGACCACTGCGTTCTTGTTTGGGAGTATAGTCATTTTTTTGTACCCGAAACCCGAGCTGCTGAGGACAGAAACGTATGGAAAGGGGATTATGCCCGAAAGAAAAACCTGCTACAGAAGGTGAATTGGAATGCAGCACAAGGACCTGACCCAGAAAGCTATTGGCCCTTCTTCAAGAACATAATGCAACAATTGGTAGAGAGCTGTTGCCCACTTAAGAGGAAGCTGCGCACTTCCCGACCAGAGTGGGTGACGTCAGAAATAAAGAAGAACCTTAAATTGAAAAGGAGACTTTGGAAAAAGCACGCCAGATGTCAGCAACCAGAGCATTTAGCTGACTTCAAAAAAGAGAGGAATGTATGTCGGAATCTGTTGAGGAGGGAACGGGCACAATTTCAGTCAGAACTTCTAAAAAATATATCACAAAATTCAAAAAATTCTTTGGATACATGAATAAGGCAAAACGCAATCGGGACTGCATTCCCTGTCACAATGATCGTCAGGTAAATACGTTGTCTGACAACTCAAATAAGGCGAATCTGTTGTCCGACTTCTTCACGTCTGTGTATACGGAGGAGCCGGATTTTGATGAAAGAGTTTATCCCCCAATTGTCAAATCAAATAATACAATTTGCAGGGCGAACTTCACAACAGACACGGTAAGGAAAACTTTCAGTCAACTGCAGCCCACTAAATCCCCTGGTCCGGACGGCGTGTTCGCAAAAGCCCTGAATGAACTCTCGGACAAACTGGCCTCTCCGTTATCCAGGATCTTCAGAACATCGATGGAGACCGGGGCTTTGCCTACCGACTGTAACAAAGCAAATATAAGCCCCATATATAAAGGTGGCGAGAGAACAGTCCCACATAGTTTCAGACCAGTGAGTCCCACAAGCATCTGTTTCAATTTGATGGAAAAAGGTATAAAAACGGCGCTGATGCGGCACCTCGAAGAAAACAGCTTGCTCAGTTTACATCAGCAGGGATTTCGAAGGGGTCGATTCTGTCTCACCAACCTCCTAGTATCAATGGAGAGCTGGACGAAATCAATTGACATGGGCTTATCAGTCGACGCCGTATACATTGACTTCAAAAAGGCTTTTGACAGCGTTCCACACAGACGACTTATATGTAAACTACGTCAAGTGGCTGTGAATGGAAATCTTTTGAAATGTCTAGCGATTTTCTTACGGGCAGATCACAACGTGTGTGTATCGGAAACGCTAAATCGGAATGGGCATCCGCGCACAGTGGCCTTCCGCAGGGAAGCGTTCTAGGTCCAATTCTGTTCTTAATATATGTGGACGACTTTCTGGACTGTCTGAACTGCGAGCGCGTAATGTTTGCCGACGATCTCAAATTGTGGAAATCAATAGAGAAGCCGGAAGACTCTGTACAGTTACAAGACAATTTGAATCGCTTGCAAAAATGGTGTGGTGAGTGGTGTGTTAGCATCAATCGTAACAAATACTAACTTATCCGATTACGTTCGAGCAACAGGAGGCCGTTGAGATTTGAATCTCAGTACTTTATAGTAGGCCACCAACTCGAATCAGTCAACGAGTTAAGAGACCACGGTGTGTGGATAACGTCAACTGTCAAACCATCGTCTCACTGCGCCCAGGTATCAAAAAAAGCTATGGGTACCCTAGGTGCGATTAGAAGATCCTTCATCAATTTTGATGAAGAACATTTTGGCAGAGTATTTGGCGCATACGTTAGACCAAATGTTGGAATATTGTGTCCAGGCATGGTGTCCCTGGACGAAAAAAGATAACACCCTACTGGAGAACGTACAACGAAGAGTGACCAAGTTAATCGGCGGATTAAGTTACTTACCTTATGAGAGACGGTTGGAGAAACTTAAACTATTTCCTCTCTCTCATAGACAATACAGAGGGGATATGATCATGGCCTTCAGGATCGTCCGAGTGCTAAACTGTGCTCTTCAGTTTGACGATTTCTTCGAAATGGCGCGGACGACAAATCTTCGAGGGCACCAATGCAAATTGAAGGCGAAATATACGAAACTCGATTTGCGGGCCACATTCTTCTCCCGTCGGGTGGTTGAGGGATGGAACAAATTGCCGAATTTCGTTGTCTTAGCGGAAAACGTCGAGACTTTCAGGAGAAGACTAGATAACTTTATGCTTGATGGTCAAACATTTACAGGATATAAATGACTGGCATAACTGCTATGTAAATATCTGAATGTTTTTTTTTTCATGCGTCTATATGTGAATAGGGTTTTCCGAGGCTCTGCCTCTATTCCTCATATATACTTAATTATACTGAATTAACTCTAGACTAACTGGTACTTATTCTCCCAGCATAATTAATTCACAGCTTCCATATGCGCCTCCAAATTATTTCTTCTAAATACCGTTGACTATAGCCTTGCCGTTCGAAACACAGATATTATATTATTGAATGCCAGGCCTGTTATAGACAAGATAGCCCGAATCAGAGCCATTGCTTTAAAAATGACGCCTGATTTTATATGTATAACAGAATCCTGGACACATTATCTTATTCTTGACTTTGTCCTTCTCAGAGATGACTTAGATTTTACCGTCAAGCACTCTCCCTATTACCTGGATGTCTCCTCATCCACGGGAAACTTCTGATTTGAATCTGTTTTTCTTTCGCCGCAAAGAAAGTAAATTATTGGCTACATCTACAACCACCCAAATTCTACAGCCAGTGGTGATTCACAACTCTGTTAAATCTTTGAATTAATTTCGGAAGCTGCTTTCGATGTTAAAATAATCACTGGGGATTTTAACCTTCCTGAAATAGACTGGATTTCCAATATATTTCTACTTAGATTCCAGCCCTTCCAAGATATTTTCAAGTTTTCTAACTGGTCCCAATTGGTGAGCTCTCCACCAAGAGATAATCACATTTTAGACCTAATCTTTACCAATGGCATTGCTCATCTTTCTGTTGCTTTAAAAAAGGACCTCTTTGACAGTGACCACGCATTAATTCATTGTTGCTTACAGCTTGCCTTTTCAAAAAAGACAAGCGCCGTTCGGACTTACATGAACTACGACTGTGTAGATAACGACTTAATAAATAACTATATTAGATCTTTGGATTGGTGTGGCTTCCTCACTTGTAGCGATGCAACCATTCTTCGTGATGTCATGTCCAATCTTTCCAAGTACATCCTAGAGTTTGTGCCGCGTAGATATCTCAAGCCTAATTCTTTAGATTCCCTTGTTCCTCATTTTCTTCAGAACTGACTAAAAAAGTTGAGGCGACAGCTGCGTGACCCATCCACTAGTTTCTTATCAGTTCATCTTAAAATCACAGAGATTTTTAAGATGGCCTCAAGGATGCGCCAAGCGCGCGACAGGCTGTAGCGACCGAGCGGGTAGTAGACGTCGGGTCACGTGCGTAGAAGGAGGGAGAAGAGGGGAGCTTGAATTCAGACGATCCGGACGCTTGGAAAAGTCGGTCTAAAATACCTTGTACTTCAGAGTGTGTGGTAGAGGGGGGCACAGGCGTACGAGACATGATATAGATAACGGAAACCAGAAATAGGAATACATGTCCCGTTAGCAGCTCGTAAACTGCGGGCTTTTAGCGAAGGTTCTATGAGTCTCAGATACTGTTGAGGTAAATCACGAACATTGATAAGGGAAGCATTAGCTCCAGTGTCAACAAGGGCCGGTAACGTGTGGTTATTGAGCAAAACGTTAACTGTAAACGTATGGTTGCAATATGGAACAGAAAAAGCAATAATGTCACGGGGGGACGACTTGGGGGGGGGGGGATTGTGGCCGCAGTGGCGGGCATCGGGGCCAAACGCCGCGCAGTATTCACAGCCTGGGTTATGGTGTGGGAATCGTACGGGCAGGTGTACTTTCCGAGAGGGCGGGCGTGGCTCTGAGCGAGGAGCAACGGTATGGGGCACTGGATGGGGTCTGCGGTCTTGATGGTAGGCCGTATATAACCGGCATTGTTGTATGGCGGCAGTCAAGCTGGTAGGGGGATGAAGGAGAAGTATGTCTGTAGCGTTAGGATCGCTAAGACCGGTTATAAAACGATGCAGTATAAGGGTGTTGCGGTCGGGTGGGGGGGAGGTTGGGGAACGCCGCTAGGGCGAGTTGGGACAACTGGTCGGCGAAATCATCAACCGACTGGTCACGAGTCTGTCTGAGGGTGGCGAAACGCTCGGCTGCGATTCTTGTAGGGACGGCGTGTGAAATAGCTGCAATACAGTACTACGCGCTACGCTAAACGGAGTTGTGTGGTCGATTCCCGCGTCGAAGGCGCTTACGAGCGGGGGGAGACAGGAAACGTATAAGGTAACACGTGCGTTGGTTAGTGGGGACCGTGACTAAGAAAAGATCCAGGTCCCGGAGCCAATCGTGAATGTTGTTCTCTGGGACGTAGGGCTCAGGGGCTAGAAGTGGGCTAGGGCCTAGGTTATACGCGTACTCGACTGTGGGGTTGGGGAGTGGTGTGCGGTTAACTGGGAAATCGGAGGGAGGGGCGGGTGGGGTACCCGCTGCCACCATTGTAGCGACCGAGCGGGTAGTAGACGTCGGGTCACGTGCGTAGAAGGAGGGAGAAGAGGGGAGCTTGAATTCAGACGATCCGGACGCTTGGAAAAGTCGGTCTAAAATACCTTGTACTTCAGAGTGTGTGGTAGAGGGGGGCACAGGCGTACGAGACATGATATAGATAACGGAAATGACAAAACGATATAAGTTTATTGTAATATGCAAAATGGGAATATAATAATGAGATAACGTAAAAATGGAAGAATATGACAGAACGACTTATCAGTGTGTTGACAGTTAATCGTCGGCACGTGGTTTTCGGAGCGTAGACTCTGCAAAGGAAAACGAAAGTAGTGTAGTTCATTTAAACCTCAAGGTCGGGTCTCTGGTCAGATCTCCGTTTGTTACAAGACAAAGAGAATCAATTGCTCTCAGGGGTTCGAACCCTAGCAAATCCGTCGCTAACATCTTCCGTCATCGGTCCTCCTTTAAGCGTAGTCACGGACTTCCACCCCTGCTAAATGATAACAAAGTCTTCCTCATCGATGATACTGACAAGGCGGAGTTGTTTAGTGCTTTCTTTGCAAGACACCTTAATATTGAGTCCAAACCGGTCGCTTTCTTTCGCTCACCTTCAGATAGGACACTGAGCACAATCGATGTCTTCTCAGATCTCATTAAGAAACACATAAGTCGTTTGACAAACTCACACTGCTCAGGAACGGACGGGATTCCAAATTCTAATATTAAACAAGCCTCTGACCTTCCCATACTGCTTAAGCATTTATTCTCGGTTTATATTTCAAAAGGATTATTTCCTGAAACATGGAAAACGTCAATTATCATTCCCGTCTTCAAGTCAGGATCTCGGTCCGATGTTAATAACTATCGGGGCGTGCACAAAACTCCATCTCTAACAAAGCTTCTCGAAAGTATAATTTCAGATGAAATTCTTGACTTCTGTCTAGCTAACCCGCTTCTGAGCTCTAGTCAACATGAATTTTTACCTTCTCATTTCGTAAGGAGCAGCAGTCAGTCGTACTTATATACTTTCATCTTAGCAAAGCCGTTGACAAGGTACCCCATAGACGTCTTTTAGTAAATTGGGAAGCTCTCGGCATCCGGCCGACTCTATTCGACCTCATCAGGTCTTATCTATCCAACCGATATTAGAAAGTCATGATCGGTAATAGCTATTTGACACCCCACTCGATCACGAGTGGTGTACTTCAAGGCACGGTTCGGGGTCCGCTACTCTTCCTTCTTCACATCAATGATATTTCGACTGAATTCGGAAATTCGCGAACTTTTATTTTTGCCGATAACCTCAAGTGTATTTACTCATATTCTAAGGTCACCGCAAACGTTTGTGTTGAAAAAATTAATGTCGATTTACTACGCCTAAGCAGATGGGGTTCAAAATGGCAGGTGGAATTTTCATCATCCAAGTGTAGTTTCATGTCTTTTGGTCCTGCCAAACTTTCTGGTCCCATTATTTTTCAGAATAACCCACACTCGGAATGCCTCACTATAAAGGATCTAGGTTTAAGGTATACAAATAAGCTTGCTTTATCCCTTCATGCAGATAGAATCTCTGCCAAAGCCGCGCAGATATGTGAATTCATATCGCAAAATTTTTTCATTCCGGAAATAAAACTAAGATTTTATCAAGTGTTTGTTCTTCCAGTCCTCAAATACTGCTGTACATTATTTTTAGTTTAATAAACGCTCGTGGCCGTTAAAATATCGAAAATGTTCAGAGGGTTTTCACCCGGAAACTGTTCTCTCAAATCGCACCCGGAACTTCTTATACTCCGAGATGTCAGCTGACGAACATTAAGTTTTTGTGAGTTAGAAGACTCGAAGCTGGCCTTTGCTTCCGTTTTCGCATCAACTCTAGCTTCAATCTTCCGCTCATTGACACGCTCACTCCGAGAGATAGTGTAGCAGCCGCTCCAGCCCCCCTTTTCTCCGGCTCCGTTTTGTCGGTCGATGGCCGCGACAAGCACTGACAGGCCGCTGACACACGACCACCCACGCCGGCACCTCCTGTCCAGCTGCAGTGACCCCCGGCTGCCCTCACAAACTAGTATCACCTACCGCGCGTCGAACGCTTTGGTTTGATTCCCGCGCCCTCCATTCCTCCTCTAATTTGTCCAATCACACGACCACCACTCAGACAGTCATTTTCCCCTTCTTGCTGACCCAGACACACACTCCCGCATGAACGACACACCGATACTGACGCTCTCCGTGAACGGACGCTTTTCTCTGTTGCAAGCAAACCGCCAACTTACGGCAACCTGCCCTGTGTACAGAATGAACTAGTCCTCACAGCTCCCTGACTTCTGACAGTAGACGAAACGAACTTATTATGCGTGGTTTAGGTTGATCTCACATCCTTGACCACCACAATAGGTCTTATACCACGGGCAACTCCTCCATGGTGAGTCCTCCGTCGCAGACTCTTTGCACTACATCTAAGCTCTCCCTCTTCTTTGATTCCAAATATGCTTCCCTTTGGAATAATCTTCCGCCTGAAATTTAGTCATCGCCTAAGTTATTGGTATTCAAGTCGAAATTACGCAAGCCCCTTTCACCGAAAAGTATAAAGGCACTTTTACCGGTCTCATTCCCGAACACTCAGCCTCTTGTATTCGAGAAGGGTCCTCCTGGAATTTAGTGGTAAATCAAGTGGAAACCCTCAATTATGTCATTCAAAATCCCTGTTTTGAATTGTTTTCTAAATCAACCGCTATCACTCCTCCCCCCTTGCGACGATTTTTGCGGTTCTTGATGTCATCTCCCGCATTTCGACCTTATGCGGTCTGTCTCCGCTCACGACGGAAGCCTCAGTAGTCGCCGTCTACTAGTAGTGTGGTCGTACCTCCCGTCTCCACTCTTCGGCTGGGCTCGAAGCGGACCGTGGTCGATCGCGTCTGGGTTCCTCTTGCCTGGCCTCTTTGACGCGAATAGTCTCATCTAGCGTATCAATCCTGCCTTGACGATACCCGTTCTGTATCCCAGTTGCAATGCCATATGCAGGCCAGTCCTGCCGGCATTTTTGTGTTATTATGAGCGAGGTTTTTTTCTCCTACAAAATTAATCCAATCAGTCTTAATTTTTTTAGTGGAGTTTTTTCATCATTCTTCTTAACGGACTACAAATTCCGAAACTATGAATTGCATTTTGTACAGATTCTACCTACGTCGTCTAAAATTCTCATGTAAATTTATTTTTACTTGCTTTGATGTGACTCATACAGGTCTTTAATAAAAATTACTTATTTATTTTTTATGTTCTTGTGGGTTAGGAGTCTTAAAGGTGGTTTTTGCCCCCTTTTCCCCCTATCTCTCTCTAATCTGCTGCGTATTTATGCTCTCACTCCGAGAGGTCGGTCTTATATCACACGTAACTCCTCCTTGGTGATTCCGCCGTCTATTTACATAACATGCAAATGCTGCTTCTTTTGTATCCAAATTTGCCTTCTTTTGGAATACTCTTAAAATCTTAGATTATCGCCTGAGTTATCGACATTCAAGTCAAAATTGTGTAAGCACCTTTAACTGGAAAGTATAAAGTCACCATTGGTCGTTTCATTCCCGAACACTCAATTTCTTGACTTTGCGAAGGGTCGCTCTGGGATTTAATGCTAGATCAAATGGAACCCCTCACTTGTATCTTTGCAACCCCTGTTTTGGATTGGCCACTTAATCCACTATTATCACTCCTCCCATAGCGACGATTTTCATGGTTCTTGATGTCATCTCCTCATTTTGACCTCAAGCGGTCTGTCGACGCTAACGGCGGAACCCCCTGTATTCGCTGTCTTCTAGTAGCTTGATTCGCCTGCAAAGAAATCTTATGGTCGTATCTGCCTTTCCCCTTTCCGGCTGGATTCGAAGCGGACTGTGTCCGATGGCGTCTGCATTCCTCTCGTCTCGCCACCTTGACGTCAACAGCCTCATCCAGTGTACGAATTCTGCCGTTTTGACTCCCCTATACAGTACTGCGTGCAGTCCAGTTTTGACCGACCCACATACTTACGCTTTCGTGAGTGAAATTTCTTCTGCCCTGAGAATGTCCGTTTAGAGTCCATTATACACTACAACATGCGCACCAGTCCTGTCCGCACTCTTATACTTTCATGAGCGAAAGTTTTTTCCTTTAAAGTAAGCTAATCATATTCATTTTGTTTGTTAGGTATAGGATTTTTTCCCTTCTCGCTATCATTTTTCTGATCATGCTGCTTATTCAAAAAGCACGAACTGAATACTTTGGAGATTATTGTCGACCTATTTTAAAATTCATATCAAATTTATGTTTGCTTGTCATGGTGGGACTCCCAAGGGTCTGTAACCTAATTTTATTATGTATGCTCATACGTCACTAGATGCCCCTTCGTGGGTCGTTTCATGACCTTGCTCTGCGTGTAGATTAATATAATAAGACGGTACTTTTCGGATTCCAGCCTGTGCCCCGCTTTGAGGATTGGGGAAATAAAGGCATTTTCTCGTTCCCCGGCAATCCATCTTTTTTCATGAACTTCTTGACACATCACAGATACCGTCTGGCAGAGTACGTCAGTTAATTATGGAACGACAGGTGGATGGATTCTATCCAGACCAGGTGGTTTTGTAGGCTGTAATCGCCTCGGTTCTGTCCTTGAACACGTAGGCAGGAAGTGAAGATCGTCTTCTAATGCGAACGATGTAGAATGTTGTTGTTCTGGGTAGGATAGACGAGGAGGGTTCGTTTCATTAGTTAATATCGACTGAAGGAATCGGGAGAAGACAGATGCCTTCATTTGGTCGTCCGTCTCCATTACTCCGTTTTGGGACCTCAGCCCCGGATTCGGGTCACAATCTATTTGGTCTCTACGTATGTAGCCGCATAAGACTTTAGGATGCTCCAAAGAGTTATGTAGTTAGATAGATAGATAGATAATTTTTATTAAAGACCCGTCGGGGTCCCATCAAAGCAAGTAAAAATAAATTTGCATGCGAGTTTTAGACGAGGTAGGCCGAATCTTTACAAAATGCAATTCCTAGTTTCTAAATTAGAAGTCCATTGAGAAACATGATGATTGAGGGGTGAAAAAAACTCCTAAGAAAAAGTTAAAAATGATT